CATTCTTATGAGTTCTTGAGCGACTTAAAATAAACTCTCGGCTCTTTAATAAGTTCTTCATGTTTCGGTTCAGATACTTTTGAATCTGTTTTGAACTTCTTCCATGCAACTTTTATCCCACGGCTCTCCCAAAATGCAGACCACACTTTACCAAAACCTCCCTGGTCAACATTGTCAAAATTTTTAAATTCAGAATATTCATAAAATCTAATTCGGCCTTGCTTAATCGCGTTATCCAACCAATTAGACATTTCTCTATTTACGAGAAGATTAACACTACTGCGCTTAATCTGGTTGGAACCTAAAACTGTAGCGTTACCGATGCAGCACATGCAAAATATGTAAGATGGTCATATGGACATCTTTTTGACTACGTACGTAGTAATATGAGTTGGCATTTTTATATGCAAAAGTGCAGAGAAAGAGATAAAAGGAAAGCAAGCATTTCGCTCCCATCTTTTGGGAAAGAATTACAAGGCGTGGCTGATGAAATTAAAATAGTTCACAAAGACTCTAAATACAACCAGAAGACATGCTTGATATTTTTGGAGCGAGTTGGGGCTATCATACGGGCCAACAGAAGACCCAATTCTTTATCGTTTTTGGAACAGGACTATTCGAATTCATTTTCTTTGCTCTGTACAAAATTAAGGGAAACAATAAGATTTTTGCGAGACATCTCACAGCTCAACAGCTACCGCAAATTTGACAATCCCGCAAATGTTAAGGAAAAATTCTCGAATTTCTTAAACGAGCTTGAAACAATTTGCCGAAATTTACAACTTGGCGTTACTTCTTCTGACGGCCTTCGAAATGAGATGATGGCTCTTGAAGATGACGAAAAAATAATGACCAAGGTATTCGATTTTTCCAAAATCAATTTTGCAATTCCTATCGTTTTGTAAATTTATGCCCAATTTCTCGTCGCTTAACTTGTCGCCCAAGTTTTTAGGATTGTTCGAAGAGGAATCAGAATTTGCTATAAAATCTGGCACTGTCTTTGAAGAAATCTGGACCATACGTGAAAAAATATCCAAAGATGAAATGTTTGAGTTGCCTCATATACCACCGACACATTTAACAAAACAAAAATCACAAAAATTAACTGATTCGCGAGGCAAGGTTTATTGTCGCCGGTGGCATGTGACCCTCAATTTCCGACAACTTTTCCATCGAAGGTCAATTAGTTTTTTTGAATCGATTAAATGTTTCGAAAAATATTATCAAATTTCACGGAGTTTCTACATATGAAAATAGTACAATAATTATTCATGATTGGACGGAACTTGCAAGATGGATATCTTCAAACCAGGAAGACTCGATCAAAATATTTCGTAGACTTAATAACGATTCAAATTTGCACCATAGGGAGATCTTACATGGAAATTTTTACGACATCGGTTTTGGAGTTATCAGGGATGAAGCTAAAATTTTTGAATGGTACATGAAGTCATGTATTAAGGAAGAGCCATATGGTCATTTTGAAGTTGGAATTTGTTACGAGCATGGTTTTGGAGTTAGCAAGGACATTGACAAAGCTAAAAAAATTTTATCAAAAGGCATCAGATAAAGGTCTTGATAATGCAAAGTACATGCTAGCAATGATATACATAAGCGAAGGAGAAGAAAAAAACAAAAAAAAAGCTCGTCAGCTAATAAAAACTTCAGCCGAGGGCGGATATGTACCGGCGCAGTGTTATTTGAGCAAATGTTATCGAGACGGGATTGGAGGGAGAAAGAATAAAGGTAAATTTTTAAAGTGGAACAAGCTATGCGACGATAATGGTGGATGGGAATAAATTTTTAGATTGCACATAAAATCCATATTTAAAGGCACAATACAATACACTTCAGTACTTAATATTTCGGTTTTTAATTTATTAAAAATATCACTTAATATATATAATAATTATTGTATTCCAACATATGGCACATTCCTACATGTCTTGAAAACATATGCGATGTCGTGAAATAAACTATTTTATTATTCATACTCCGAATCCAGCTTTAACGGATTTTAAATTGCAGACTGAAGGTTTTTACTACTGTTGTTGTAATTAACACGAACCTCTCCCCAAAAACCTACCTATCTCCGCCTTTTTTCAATCTCATAATCTCCAATTCAATGTCGGCGACATCTACATCTCTTTACGCTAATATGGTAAGCAAGCAGGAGTCGATTTCAATTCCACTAATTTTGCCATTAGAGAATTGATAATCGGTGATGTCAATACGGAAGAGATGGTTCGTGTCCTTTTAAGGCGAAGATCCATTTGCACGGAAATGCGTGATATTTTCAATCCAATTTCTTCAGCATAAATTAACGATTTAAACTTGCACAAATTGCCATTAGAAAATGATACATAAAAAAGTTTCCTTAAATTCACCTATATCTTTGAAGGGCTTCGAGAGCTTTCGGCTCTTTATTCTGGGCAGCTAATCTTAAATAGCATAATCCCTTATTTTCATCTTTCTTGACTCTCATCTTTCCGTCCATATAAATCTCTCCCATATGAAATTGAGCCTTTGAGTTCTTATTATCTGCGGACATTCTCATATATGTTACACAATCTTTATAGTTTTTTTTGAGAATGCATACAAAATGCGTAACGAAGTCGTCCTTCTGCATTCCCTGCATCAGCTGCTTCATTGTAGGCGTCAATTACCCCCGCTTCATCTTTACGAACATAGTACCCTTCGAACAAATAAAATCCTTTCCAAACCTTAGCTGTCGGGACCCCAAGCTTGGAGAGGACCTCAAAACATTTCCAAGCCTTTTCATATTCTTTATCTTTATGTGCCCTTAGGCCGTCTTTTAATTGAGGTACTGATCTTGAAGATTGCGTACCCAAACTACTGGAATCATCCGATAAAATGTCCGTCTCTGTGAGGTTTTTCTTGATTTGTTTGCCTTTTGAATCATCGACCAAGCTGGACAATTCCATGAATATGTCTTTCATCCATGGACGATGTATAGGATCATGATGCCAGCCTTATGTAATATTTCGT